TGCAATGTGTGAAGTGCGCTGCACCCCTGGTCGTTTCCCCATGGAGGAAAGCAGCAGAAAGTCGAATGGAGTTAAAGAGAGCGGGGCCTAGAAGTTATCCTTCTGCGCAGCGTTGCGTGCATGGCTTCCTTCTGCAGGTAACGGGGAGACGCGCCCTGCCGGCGGTCTCGTTCAGGATCGGAAAATACAATTTAAATATTTTGCACACTTATTCCTAGTGTGCTACTGGTTACTTTCCCGCGTGCCAATGGTGGCCGACCCCTGGTGTGACCCATTCACTTTAATATGGCAGCTGGTAAAGTTTGATCGTATTTTAATTACTTTGTATTCTGACATATAGTGCTGTAACATTTATTTTGGACACACATTTACTTAAATTACTCATTTTCACATAGTGGTTATTAAAGTTGTAAATATGCCTTCCTATTTATTCTGTGTAACTATAACTTTGAATGCCTTTTTGTCCAAGATGACCTACATGTTAAGTGACTCAGGTTGTGTAATTAATTCAGGTAACTGGCATAGTCAGCATTTAGCAGCATATTGTGACACAGCAGGCGGGGGGGGGTTGATTTAGAGGTTAATGATGTGTTTTACAGTGTGGGGTTAAAGGTGTGTGTGGTGGAGGGTGTGTGAGGGAAGCAGCGCTCTGATTGGCTGGCTGCTCCTCAGCTGTTCATCTTTGATATTGATGACNACGGCCTGCTGGCGACCGGCTCAGTTCGCTGACGGCCGGACGTACTGTGATTCTCCAGAACACACAGTTGGCCAGTCCGCCCCTGTGTAGCATATTATTTTCGATGACAGATCGCCACTGGGCATTCAACTAAAGACACAGCCAAACAAAAACTGCGGCATGTACAGCTCCTTATGGGTACTGCAAGTACTGGGTGAAGTGTGCTACACCCCTGTTCGTTTCACCATGGAGGAAAGCAGCAGAAAGTCGACTGGAGTTCAAGAGAGCGGGGCCTATAAGTTATTCTTCTGCGCTGCGTTGTGTGCATGGCTTCCTTCTGCAGGGGGAGACGCGCTCTGCCAGCGGTCTCGTTCAGGATCCAAAAATACAATTTAAATATTTTGCACACTTATTCCTAGTGTGCCACTGGTTACGGTCCAGCGTGCCAATGGTGGCACGCGTGCCAGGGGTTGCCGACCCCTGGTCTAAACTAAATACTGCGGTGATGAAACGCCATATCATGGATTATCAAGGATTATCTCTGAAACAGTATGGAGCTGAAAGGCTTTCTCTCTTGCCGGCTATACCACAAGGTGAGTTCCTTTTGATTTCCTGCTTCTTCACACACATGCTCTGTGCAGTCCAGGTGTGCTCTGAGTGTTAGCGATGCAATGTAANATTTAGAGGTTAATGATGTGTTTTACAGTGTGGGGTTAAAGGTGTGTGTGGTGGAGGGTGTGTGAGGGAAGCAGCGCTCTGATTGGCTGGCTGCTCCTCAGCTGTTCATCTTTGATATTGATGACTCTTTAAATGTTTCAGCTGAGAGGAATATAAGAGGGGGAGGGGGGGGGAGCAGAGCGCTTTGTGGGAGGCTTTTCAGATACATTTCACAGATTAAAAGGTTGTTTAAACTCACAGCTGAACAACAATGACGGATTTACTGTTATACTTCTTTTTAGGCTTTTTATTTCAGCTTAAGACAAAACATTTTCACATTTTTCCCGACTGTTTTTATTCTTCTACATTTCCATTTTAAAAAACATAAAAGAAAAGAAGAATAACAAAAGTGACATAAAGCAAATAAATGAGTTAATTAAAACATTTTAAAAGGACGACATTTGGGGGGGGGGGGCATATTTGAATTGGGAAGAATACACTCCATCTTTTAAAAAACACGTCTGATTTCGGTCTTGGTTCTCAGTGAATATCAAAGTCAATGTGATCCCATCTACCCATGGGGTCAGAGTCGTGCAGCCCTGTCACACACGGTGTTTATTTCTGAGCAAACAATGCCAAGGGTTTTGTTGGTGATGTATTCTTTGTCCTGAATGCAGTGTCTCTCTGCCAACATGTCCTCTGAACAAACCGTCTGTCCCAGCTCGATAAAGAGTTTCAAATGTCTCCATGAGAGCGGACAGTTTGTTCTGCAGAGCTGCTGAGTGTAAATGGAGGTTAAGAAAAGAGAAAGGGAAAAGTATTTGTCATCATATTAAATGTGCTGGTGACTAAAAATCATGCCGTTAACTCGACATAAATACTGCTTTCGCTGCTCTTTCCAATCACAATGTGTAATGTTCCTCCTTAAAGGAATACAGAGTGCATTAGTTTTAATATGAAGTTGATTTTGATAACAATGTCCTGTTTGTCCTCTTTTCTTTCAGGCGGTCTCATCAGCTTCGATGTGTTTCCGGAGGGTTGGGACAAGAGACTGTGTTTGGAGCTGCTGGACAGCGAGGGCCTGAACTCCATCTACTTCTTCGGCAACGAGACCTCAGATGTAAGTCAATATTCACATCTACACATCGCTCTGAACCATATCAATGAACATTTCCCTTTAATAAAGGCATCTTCACATTTTTATTTCAATTATCATTAGGGGTGCACCGAATGGGAAATTCTTGGCCGAAACCGATACCGAAAATAGGAAACAGTTGGCCGAAAACCGAATGCCGAAAGGCCGAAAATGATTAATAGAAATATATATATATATAATGTATACATTTTTTACCAACGTTGTTCAGCTACCTGATTATGGAAAAATACATGATTATGACAACACTTAACTTAAATAATAATCACTATTATGGGCCATAAAACATTTCAGTTCAGCACTTTTGATGCAACAGTACATTTATTCCACGGTCAAGTGCATTTTTCTTTTCTCTGTAGGATAACTACAACAAAGTGCATTCAGAACAAAGCCAAGGTGCTTTTAAAACCTGCATAAACAATCTAGCCAGTAGGCCTACAAAAAATAGTGCTAAATAAAGGAACTGTAACAGCCAGGCCTTCAACAACAACAAATGCACCCTATTTAAGTTTGGTAACCTAACGTGTTGTTGTGATGCGTAATCAAAACGCTGGCGACAAGCCACGGCGCGGACATGCTCGTGGCTGGACTCACAGCCAACATGTCTGCGCTTGAGGTATTTCAAAATATTAGAGAAAGACAGCGCGATTGCGATTTGTAAAACCTGTTCAGCTGACATTTTCTCGAGGGATTACTCCACCACGTTGAAATCAAAACACCCGGGACCAATATGCAGAGTATGATCAACTAACCCTGTTCTCTGACATTCGGTGATATTTTTCGTGCAAAAAGCCTTTTTAACCATTTTCGGACCGATAATTTCGGTGGCAGAATTCGGTGCATCCCATAATTTCATAGATGTTTAAATATCTTTATCTCATTGGTTTGGTTTTACCTTACCATGGTTATCTTTAAGAATAAACATTATCCGTTATGGAAACGTACGTCATACATCTTCTAGTTATTTTGTCATAAGATTTTTAGATTGAATCAAAACCAATGTAATTACAGGATAATAATAATACATTTTGTTTTAGGCGCTTTTCATGACACCCAAAGACACCGTTACAATTGTTAAATATTCTCAGGGTAGAGCTATGCTCCTGCCGTCCCCTCTTCAGGCTAGGTTTCTTGTCCCTTGTCTTACTTTCACCCAGTCTCACGCATTCGTTGTTATAGTCCGAAATTAATCTATTTAATTCGTGTTCACCAACACGATTTGTCTATTTTTTTCGTGTTCACACCAGAACGTTTTAAAAGCAATGTAAATAATAACAACAAATTTGAAGGAAAAAAACGGTGACAAGAAAATACAAGATTCCAGTATTCTGAGCACAGAACGATTTTAGAAGCAATGTATTTCTATTTGGTGGGGGGAGTGTGTTTCGGTGCCTGAACCAAATAATAACCAACTCAGAAAAGGAAAAAAATATGAGATGTCAGTATTCTGAGCTTCTGAGCCCATTTCTTTTCCTCGGGGACGGCAAAAAACTCCGACATTTGAAATTTAAAATAAAAAGGGTTAGGCTTAGGGTAGATATTGGTAAAGAAAGATGTTTTTATAAACCACACGAGCTTCTGTATTCCAGGACCCGACCGGACAAAAAGACGTGGTGCAGGCACCGAACACACTCCAATAG